ATTTCTTAGTGAGAAAGCTCTCTAAGGCTTCTCAGAGTCCTCTGTGGGCCCATCTTTAATGTGGCCCTTGACCATGTCACAGGGCCATCTGGAAGTAAATGCCCGGTGGCTTTGCACGTGGGAGAAATCTTTGTTCACTGGAGCTCTCTGTGCTGCCGAACACCAGGAACCAGTGTCAGCAGTCCCAGATCCATTTCCCAAGAGGTTGGACCCACCAGTGGACTGTGTGCTCACTACCTCCCACTTGCATGGTGTCCCCAGGCCTTCCTTGGTGGTTCATGCCCATCACCTTGGCATCTCATCCACCTGGATGTGTCACACCATGATCAGATCCCAAGAGACTCAGAAGAACAAAGCACATTCCTGTGGAGCCTTGGTTTACACACTCACATCCAGACAAGGGTGTGCTCACCTCCACCCATCTCTCTCATCTGCACATTAGCTTCATATCTCTGGCAAAAGTTTGACGCGTTAAAATTTATAGAATGTCCAAGTAATATCACTTCAGGTAATCCTTATAAAAAGACACCAATAGGCCCCAACAGCTGGGGAGACTTGCCCAAGGCCAGTGGCGAGTAAATACAGCCAGAGGCCCTCAGGCCTCCTGAGCACCTGCTAATACCTCATGATCAGGATGACCTCATCAGCTAACAGATAGAATCGTCTTTCCCTTTGTTTGCTGTTCATTTTTATGATCCTAGACATAACATGTGCTCTTTACAGAAAATTGGAACATACAGATTAAGATCCAGCAGGATGACTGTTCTATTCAGATAAACTACTTCTATTCAGATAGAAACAGTTATCATACCCAATAAAATATATAAATACATGGTATGAAAAGATAGTGTCTGTTTAAAATAAAATAAAATAAAAATTTGTAGGAAAAGTCTGGAAGGACCTTGTTGGAATGTTATTTTTACTTTTCTATTAACCATTTTTTCTTCTTTTCTATATAATATAGATATTATAATTCTCAAAAATTTAAGAATAAATAAATAAAACCTCTCCCCATCAAGTCATTCTTCTAATTTGCTCCAAGTACTCCTCACCTCCTCCAGGACTGCACTCAGATTATCACCTCACTGCGTCTTCAGAGCTGTAGTATCCCATTGCCATGGTCCAAACAGCAGCTCTTACTTTTCTGAGCTTGCTTCAACAGCCCAGTTTGGAAGCATCTAAGGCAGGAACCATGCCTTTTGCACCTGGAAACTGCATCCACAGCACCATAACCCTGCAGCATGCATGCAGGTTTCTACATGACTGGCTATGTCAGAGAGGAACCACTGTTCAAATAAAAATACTCTAATATCGAAGCCATCAGCCCAGATCCCAGCATTGCCTACTCAGCTGTCCTCCTTCTCTTTATGTACTCTTATCCAGAACATCTGGGAACACCAGATCTTCAATTCCTCTTTCATTCATCCAAGGCAAGTTGAACAGGAATGAGAGGCAAAGGTGAGTCTAGAAAGACCAGAGCATCCACATTTACAGGAGACAAAATAAAAATGCCTGAGCCTGTAAAGCCTCAGGAGCAGGAGAGAGAATTTGAGCTCATGGGCTCAAGACATCAGAAAAACAGAATTCAAATAGTGGCTTGGCTACTCCCAAGCTAGATGACCTGGA